AAACAATTGTCATATCATTACTAAATCTGATGATTATTTCCATTGTTTTTGGCCTAAATGTCAATACAAAACAACGAGGAAAGACAAAATGACTGAACATAAGTTAGTTCATTCAAATATAAAGCAATTTAAATGTGATTTTAATAATTGTGGCAAAAGTTTTAAACAAAAATATCACTTAAATTTACACATAAATAGCATTCATTTAAACGTGAGATTTATTTGTGATTTTAATAAATGTCACAAAAGTTTTTCGACAAAACGTTTATTGTCTCAACACAAAAGTTATATACATTCAAATTTTCATAAAAGTTATAATTTATATTGTGTTTGGCCTAAATGTGATTATAGTACAAACAGACATGATATATTAACTCGACATCAATTAATTCATTTATCAATAAAACAATTTAAATGTGATTTTAATAATTGTAATAAAAGTTATACAAGAAAATCAGCTTTAATTCAACACAAAAATAGCATTCATTTGAATACAGAATTTGTTTGTGATTTCAATGAATGCCAAAAAGTGTTTAAAAGTAAATCATCTTTAAATCAACACAAACTGATTGTGCATTCAATTGAAGACAAAAATAAGATTTATTTTCACTGTTTTTGGCCTAAATGTCAGTACAAAACAACTAATAACTGGACTTTAAAAGCACATCAATTAAGTCATTCAGAAGTAAAACAAATTAAATCTGATTTTAATAATTGTAATAAAAATTATAAATTAAATGACAATTTTAAACGTTTAAATAAAACATTTAAATGTGATTATAATCAATGCAACTCAATTCTAGCATCGCACAGAAATTTAATTCAACACAAAAGTTGTGTTCATTTAAATGAAAAGAAATTCAAATGTAATGAAGAAAATTGTGGCAAAAGTTTTAAAACTAAACAAAGTCTCACAGAACATACATACCTACATTCGGGAGAAAAGCCATTTGTTTGTCATTTCAATGATTGTAATAAAGAATTTTGTTCAAAATCTCAATTTAACGATCATTTGAAAAGACATCTGAATATAAAACTTCATAAATGTATTCATAATAACTGTAATCAACGCTTTGTTACGAATCAGGAGTTAAGATCACATTTAAAAAACAGACATCGCAAATAATAATGCTGTTTTAAAACTTGTTTTAAATCAATAAACGCATTCATATTAATTGTAATCAACGGTATGTTATGAAATATAAAGTACAACATCGTTTAAATTGCAAACCTACATACATACACGTTTGGACATAACTTTTTGACACCTATCGGTGTCTGTAGCACCTAGACCAATTGAGCAATCGACATACTCTCTTCGGGAACTTATAACCAGATACGTAACGATGAAAAAAGTAATTGACATAATGTCTAAAATGTTCCTGATTATATGGGTAATTTTAAGTCAAAGTTGCACTAAATTTCCATTGACCTTAATGTTAAATTCAAAATTTCTTTAAAAACATTTTTTAATATAACCAATATATACACCAAAATGTTCATGGTCAAAAATAATTTTGTAGGTGTCTCGGCAATTTTGTCATAAATGACGTATTGTGAAGAATATAGGTAACAAGGTGTGTAGAATTCAATGTTTCAAATGTGTCCCATTCAAAATTTACTTGGTCGATTTTAATGATCTATACATCAAATTAATCAGAATCAAATATAGAAAAAAGTAATTTCTCAGATTTGCTATATTTTGTTTTTTATAAAATTAATGTTATTTTTGAAGGTGAATTTGTATTTGAATTTAACATTAAGGTCAATAGAAATTTAGTGCAACTTTGACTTAAAATTACTCATATAATTAGAAACATTTTAGACATTATGTCAATTACTTTTTTCATCGTTAGGTATCTGGTTATAAGTTCCCGAAGAGAGTATGTCGATTGCTCAATTGGTCTAGGTGCTACAGACACCGATAGGTGTCAAAAAGTTATGTCCAAACGTGTATAT